GCTGATAAGTATAGATCATTTTAGTCCTTTGAAGTACATTTTCAGATAGAGGCCTCCTCAAAAAGAAATCCAGTTTCCCCCTAATATGAACTAGGAATTCTCAGGAGAGTCGCCCAACCTTACTCAATACTTCAAGGGTCGGTTCAGACTGGACTTCCGTCCAGAATATAGCATCTGCTCAACACCCCCTTCCAACCTTAGCTCCTTGTTTACAGTGAATTACTGCTCATTTTTAAAAGGTATGAAATGCTATTATGTTATGTTTTAAAATTTCTCATTTTTTTTTGAGGTACACCCTGAAATACTTACAGATGAGATGCTATGGTGCCCAGGATGGTGTCAATAGGTCAGATTAGGTCTCCCTGCAATGATTCCCACGGCACCCTAAAATGTCCCCTATCAGAGCCCTGATCTTCCTGTCTGTACTCATCAGTTCACTGGCCTGTCATCCCCACCACGGTATGCGTTCCTAGAAGTCAAGGTTCCTGCCTTTTGTGTCTATACCCCCACCCAGCTCCTTAGGATCTGGAACATAGGCGTGCAGTCAATACTGGTTGCGCAATGAGTGGTTTGCTATGATGGGTTGCCTAACCCTATCGCCTGCAGTGGGCTGGTCTTGAGTCAGAGGCAGGGCCCATGGCATCTTGGTTTTCACTCGAGAAGGTTGAACTTGGGTGGAGGCTTTCCAGATGTGCTCCACATTCAGACAGCTGGGTAGCAAGTAGGTATGCAATGAGTATTTTCTGAATTGAATTACATGAAATTGAACGAGCCAATTACACAAAGTTCAGAGGAAGTAGAGTGGCAGTGCTTTCTCCTTAAACATGATTATTTGATCTAGTTGTAGATGTTATTTCTGCATGTCCAACCGCAGCTGAATGTAAATTATTCACACCCCTGGGGAGCCAGAGGTCACCCTCCTTTGCTGGTTTTCTCAGCCCCCATTCTCCTGGGCTCCCCACATGCTGCTCTGCCCCCTGGCGGCCGGGCGCACATTTTTTGCTCAGGAGCTGTTTGCCAGTCTGGACTAAGCGAAACCCAAACAGCTCCAGCCCGTAATCTCAGCATCAGCATGAAAATGATGGTGGTGATTCCTTTCAGATGCACGTACAATGTGGCAGTGCTCTTCTGGGGTCCTTTGCAGGACAGTCCTAAAGGACATTTACTATAGGAAGGGCAAAGAAATCAACAGAAAAAATCTTTTACATCAAGTGTAAGGACTGGAGAGCTGAGTGTGAGGGTGTGGAGTGAGAGGCCCCTGTAAGCTCATGCCAGATCCTTCTGAACAGATTATAAGACAGTAAGCCCTTTAATTTGGCAAGCTACAATAGCTCAGATGCTATGTGATCATCTTAAGAATGAAGAAATCTTAAAAGATAAAGTGGATCCTATCACTGCTTGGCCTAAAATCCTCCAATGACCTCTCACTGCCCGAGGGAGGAAACTGTGACCCTACTATGCAGACTGGCAGTTGCCAGCTTGGGTTCCTCGTCCTGTCTCTCCAGCACCAGCACCACCTGCACAGCCCTCACCCCACTCTGATCCAGGCCCCACGGGCCACTGGCCTCTGGTCAGCAGTGCTTCCCCCTTTAGAGCCTCTGTTCAGTGCTCTCTGCACCCAAGATCCCATCCTTCTGTGACCCTGCAGGCTCTCTATCACCCTCTTTCTTTTGGTCTTCACTTAAACGTCACCTCCACACAGAGGTCTTCTCCAAACCCCGTTAAGTTGGGGGCCCCAGCCCACAGGCCTCCTCTTCCTTTTCTCCATTTGCCCCCTGCACAGCACTTGGTGGCTGTCAATTCTCTCTTGCTCACTAGAATGCTGGTTCTGCAAGGGCAAGAAACGAGCCTGTCACGTTCACGGCCATCGCCCCAACCTATATCCAAGTGTGTCAGAAGCGGTAGAAGCTGATTCGGCTGCACTGCCCTCGAGAAATAGCTCTATTATGCCAATCTCATTTTAACAGAAAACGGTTTGCAAAAAAACAGAGGAAGCTGGGAGAGCCATGTTTGAATGTTAATACCGCTCCCTCCTGATACACTCTAGGAAGTGGTATTTACTATTTTGCTAAATACTCTCTTCCAAAAGCCTTCAAATTATTACATTTTTCTTACTCTCATAAATATGGCGTGCTTAGTCCTCAACCCCTTAAGACCAAATGCTCCAAGAAGCTTGTTCATAGGTGAACTCAGTTGCATTTAAACTCCTACACGAATCCCCAGATACTGCTTTTGCCAAAGAGTAATTTCCAAGATAGCTCTTAATGTTAACTATTCAAAGACATAAAACACATGCTCTCACACACGTTCGGAGATTTGCAGTAATTAACGATACAGGGAAACTCCCTCGACCATGCCCGTAACATGCAACTGAAGTCACAACACGCATGTTTAAAAGAACTCCACTCGCTCCCAGTATTCTCAGGCCTTTGGGTCCAATTTGTTAACGATGGCAGTTGGTGAATGTTCTTGGAGTTTGCTTTCTGGAATGTTTTGATCAAGAATAAACAAGGTACACCAGGGGATGCACTTTTGCTGTAGACCATGGGCAACACTCAGTTCTTTTTGATTCTGGGAGATTTTGATATCATTAAAGCGGTCACTGACTCATGTCTTTGCAAGTCACCTTTGGGGCTAAGACTTAAGTAACATTTTTAACATTTGCTGCTCATGTCTGAACCAGTAATGGGGAGGTCAGGAGGAAGGCTGGTGTTTGGACATGGGCCAGTTTAAAAGGAGCCACTCACACAGAAACTGAAAGGCTGTCACGTGGCATTCAATTGCTTTCCAGCAACTACAAGCAGGAACTCTGAGAAAGGCCTTTAACTTTTCGATAGTTCCAACGTCCCTGTGAGTTAAATAATAATAATAATATAATAATAATAATAATAATAATAATAATAATAGTAATACCGCCATATATTTAGGGAGTGACTTACAACTTACAAAGACATATGATCTCATTTAATCCATTCTCCCACTCTCGTGGGGACCCTGTGAGGTAACAGAACGACCACATTGAGACAACACTGGAGATTAAAAGCAGCCTGAAAATCCCGCAGTGGGTGACGGATGGCTGAAGGTAGACAGGGCAGCTTGACCTCCCTGCACTGTGGTCCCTTGTGATTAATTCACCCACTTGCTTAGGAAGTTTCTTTCCATCTGAGAAAATTAAAAACACCACTCTCTGTACAGGAATGTGGGATCATAAATGAGAACCAAATAGAAAAGATTTATACAAAAGCACAAGCTCAGCAAAGAACAAAAGTTAGAAATCGCTAATAAGGTATAAATCAAGTAGAAGCTATTAGCAAACCCCTGGTAAGAAAAAAAAAGTCTTTTAAGTGATTTGCTGAGCTCTTAACAATACCATTTCTACCTATGGGTTTCAAATATCTCCAGGGTAACTTGGCTCGTACCCATAAACACTGCCATGAAAACCTTCCCGTGTGAAGGGCTTAACCCAACTTTATGGAGAATACCAGGAAGCACGCCTCGCTCTTGTGCCTCCACATTCACACAGAGCTGCAGGGTCTCCTCATCTGTGCATGCCTCACAACAAGCACAGGTGTCAAAAATATTTACTTAATACATGAACAGATAAGTGGAAGGTTGGGTAGGTGGGTGAGTAAATGGATGGATGGATGGATGGATGGGTGGGTG